ATCAGCCTTTCATTTCATAGGTTAAAATACTTGCAATTAGTTGGTTTGTCTGAATTTTGAGGTTGAGGTTACTTGATTTTCTCTTCTTCCTTCCCTCCATCCTCTACCATTTTCAGGCTTCTTCCCTTTCCTTGTTCACAGCCTGAAATAAATGTCTTCAACTGAGCAAAAAAGTTGATGGCAGAGAAAGAAATCTGGAGTCCGATATCGTGAAAGGCTCACACAGGTTTTCACCTTGGCTTCTGGCGCGTTCTTTTTAAAACCTTTCAGACAGTTTTATTTCTAGATTGTTTCCTTTCCTGATTGATTTTTTTTTTTTTTAGGTTCTTTGCTTCTTTTACAATTCAGTGGCAGCTTAACTCTCCCCTCTTCCCCCCTGCCTTAGCACGATTCCCCGTGCAGCCAGACACGGATGTGCTGCAGTTTGAGCCCAAGCGAGCACCCGCAGCCCGGGCTGAGCCTCAGTCACAGAACTGCTGAGGCTGGAACAGCCCTCGGAGATCATCCAGCCCAGCCCTGCCCCAACACCCCCCATGGGCCAGAGCAGGCACCAAGTGCCACATCCAGCCTCTCCTCAAACCCCTCCGCAACTCCTGGAGCCAGGGGTCGGGGGGACGGCACAGAGCAGGAAAGGGTGGGACTGGGGTAGCCCCATTTCACATTTACATACAAGTTGCCAAGTATTTTCTTGTATTTTCATTTGTTCTCACGTTTTTTCCATAAAGTCAACTCTGACTGGTATTTTCAGGCCAGTTTGACCTAAATTGAGCTTTTAATAAAAACTTCTTTTGAGTCGAAAAAGCTTTTATTAAAACAATTAGTTGCCCCAGGCTTTAACATTTTGGAGGAGTAAAGTTCACGCGATTCAAACTTTTGTTTGCGAGCTCTCTTGAGAGGACTTAAGTGAATTGTTCTTGGCATTTGCTGATTTCTGGGTTTGGATACTGAAATTCTGCCTCCGGAATATGGAAGAACGTGTCTGGATGAGCCAAGAATTTTTGCTTCAGTTCTGCAAAGATTTTGGTTGCTGCCCACAGGCGTTGGGACTCACGGGAAGTTCTTGGTATCAGTAGTTTGGGGTTTGCTGCTCGAGGTGTCGGGGTTGTTCCGGGTGAGGAGTTTCTGAGTCCCACGTTGCTGTTTCAGAAATCTCCTCGTGCCCGCCGAGCTGTAGGTGAGGTGCCACGTGAGGCACAGAGCTCGCTTTCACCTTGGATACTTGAGGTGGTTCCTTGCCCTGGGCAGGGACGGGGCTGGACAGGCTTTCCGAGTCTACTTAAAAATTATTTTGACTCTCTGCTGTGAATGCAGATTGTTAGATGGGGAGTCTGCAATTTCTCTTGTGTTAACCTGTTATTTGATAGGTGTATTTTTTTTTTCACCCCCCAAATGTTTTATTAGTCCTTAACGCCTACAGCGTGAGAAGCACAAACGGTGGAAGAGCAGCTGACTCAAGTGTCTCAGCAGTCAGTTTGTTTCCACACACTCGTGTGAGCGGCGTGCTGTGATGCCCGGCGTGGTATGTGTTGCCTCCACCAAGCATTTCTTAATTTCTGACCTGACAGGTTGGAGGACGGGTGCCTGTCCTGGACACGCTAGCGGAACTCGTCACAAGAGGTCGATCTATTCCGGTGCATCTGGACCACCTGCCGAGGCTGGAGAACCTGGTGGCAGAAGTGCAGGCGTGGAAGGAGTGCGCCGCTAACACCTTTCTGTGCGAGAACTCCCCGTACTCTCTTCTGGAGGTAAGAGATCGCTCTGGAGAAGATCCTCGTTCGTACCACAGCAAAAGCACGTCAGGGCTACAGTATAACTCACGAGGTAGCAGTAAATACTAAGTTGATTTGGAGAATTGTATTAAGATTATGTTATTTTTTATAACCTAGTTTTGTACTGGGAATATTTTACTTATTGTAACCTAGTTTTTATTAGGTTGACCTATAATATTACGATAATTTTAAACTTTTAAAATGCCTAACACTTAGCTCTACTTTATTCTTCTTAAGGGGTGGCTGACAAGAGCGCGCTCTGCCGCAGTCTGACGTTGACACTACGGGAATATTAACACATTTGTGGCACTGAGTTCCCTGCGGTGCGTCAGGCTGGAGCCTGGGCTCACACCCCCATTCGCCCTGTGATTTAAGCTGCCCAGGTTCCGTGTCCTGGCACACCCGAGGGGCTCGGCAGAGGCCAGAGAGCGTGGAGCCTGCGCGGTGGGGCACTGCCTCTCTGTCAGTGGTCTAGACAAACACAGAGGTGTTTGCGGTCTGCCTGTTGTATAAAACTGAATTTTTAACCTTCCAGCTCTCCTCATTTTCCAGATCACTTTGTCCTGGTCCCTCAAATCCTTGATGGAAAAAATTGCCCAAATCCTTATTCTGACGCGTGGCACGTGGCTGTGTCGGGGCAGGACGGGTTAAAGCATTAAAGCTGTTGCAGACAGTGCTGCTCCTCTGTCCGGCAGGTGTTGTGTCCCCGCTGTGATATTGGAATGCTGAACCTGAAGAGAAAGCAGAAGAAGTTGAAGGAGCCAGTGCCCAGTGGAAAGAAGAAAAGCACTAAGCTAGAGACGCTGAGCGACTTAGAGAGAGCGCTCTCGGAGAGCAAAGACACTGCGTCTGCGGTTTGTGCCTTAGGATTTTTTTCGAAGTTTCTTTGAGTCTTTGTACATGCTTGCCTCTCATCGGGACCGTTATCTTCCTGCTCTTCTCTGCTTGCTCTGCTCTTCTGCAGAAGAACTTCTCGAACTGCGCTTTTCTGTGTTTGCTTCTCAAAATCGCTTTTGGTGGGGGAAAAAAATGTGATGTCTTTGTGCGTGAAGCAGCCTTGCAGTGTGCCAGAGGCCTGACAAAGCACAGGCAAAGGAAAAAATGGAGACCTGCTTTTGTCCCACCGAAACCTTATTAAAGAGAGGATGGGGTTTTCCTGAGTCTGATCCTTTCAGAGAGCACAATAACCCAACACCATTTATAATTAAAGCAAACGCCATAAATAGTTAAAGCAAACCTCATGCATTATGAAGCCCCGCTGTAAGATACTGGCTCCGGTGGAGCAGGTTTAGTGCTGGGGGTGAGGTCCTTCATCCCAAAAGACCTATTTCAGAGCTTCCCCCACGGCCAGGTTAAGCACTGTCCGTTCATTACTGAGGAGCAGTGGACTGATTTGGTGGGGTTTGAATTGTCCCTTTAGGTTTGGGCTGTTTGAGGTTCAACCCAAAGGCTGTGTGTGCACTCCTGGGGTTTTGGGCCCCCCCTTGGCTGGAAATCCAGAGTTAGAGGCTGCGTCCCTGCGAGTGCTGTGAGGAGAAGAACCTGGGTCCTCTGGTCACAGCCCCTTCTCCATGGCTGCGTAGTCTCTCCGCGGGGTGTTGAAAGAGAGGGCTGCTCACGCAGGCTGGGCCCAGGAAAATGTGTTCATTTAGTCTGGCAGGTTCTGCTGCTCACACAAGGGAAACAAGAATCCCTCTGTGGTGCCGGTTCCGATACACACGTAGCTTAGCTGCAGCTGCTGCTTAGAGCCTTTATGGAACTGAGATATGTTGCTGTCTAATAACGAATGTCAAGGAGTCCATTAAGAAAAAGGATGGGGAGGAGGTATAGAAAGGGCACGCTCAGGAGTACACCTGAATTTCACCTGGTGTTTACAAACCCCAGAGCAAGAACACGGGTCACGGCGCAGCCCTGCGAGGGGGGTGTCGGAGATGGGTTTGTATTTCTGAAACCTGCCCAGGTGGGTTTTGGGGTGACACGGTCAGACTACGTGTTTGAGTGCCGTGTCCAGAGAGGAGTACCTGCAAGCCACACCTGCGCTTGTTCCAGAACTTAAGCTGCTTCAATGATCGGAATGGTTTTGCAGCACGAAACAGGAAGGGCTTGGAACAGAGAGGAAGGGAGATAGAGGTTATTTTTCGCCAAGGAATAAGGTTTGGGCCCGATGAGAAAATGGAAGGAAACTGAAGTCACGTTGCTGCACATCCTCATAACTTTTCACTTAGTTCAAAGCCTGGAAGGTGTGCAGGGTGAGGAGCTTCTTAACGGCCCAGAACACTCCGTGGCTTATCTGCAGAGTGTGCCTGTGCAGAGGTCACCCTGTCTCTAAGGAGTAACGTTCCTCTGGAGGTGACATCCGTCTCTTTGAACTCCCTTTTAGATGGCCACGCTTGGGGAAGCCCGACTGAAGGAGATGGAAGCGTTGCGTTCTCTGCGAGCGGCCAACGAAGCGAAGGCGCTGTCGAGTGAAGAGGATGCGGAACTGAAAGTCTGTCTGTGCCAGAAGGAGCCGGCGGCTCCCATGATACAGTGTGAACTCTGCAGAGGGTTCTTCCATACCGGCTGCGTTTCGGTGCCCAACGTTGTGCAGGGACCTCGTGTGTGGCTCTGTCCGCAGTGTCACCGGTCAGAAAAGCCACCTTTAGAAAAGATCTTACCGCTGCTGGCCTCCTTGCAGCGTATCCGCGTGAGGCTTCCCGAGGGGGATGCCCTGCGGTACATGATCGAGAGAACTGTGAACTGGCAGCACAGAGCACAACAAATGTTATATTCAGGGAATCTAAAACTTATACAAGACAAAGTTGGCTCAGGATTATTGTACAACAGATGGCAAGCCACGGGCGGGCAGTTGCCGGAGACAAACAAGGTGAGGCGGTGGCGGCGCTGCCGCGGGCCGGCCGGGCGGGCGGTGGGTGGCAGGAGCGGTCTGCAGCACCTCCGGGTGTCGCGTTCAGTATCTCTGCGTGCAAACCCTGGCAAGGCAGGTTGTTTGTGCGGTGCTTTGCAGAGAGGAGGAGTTTCAGGTTCTTCCCTGAGGACGCACACGTCCTCCAGCAACAGCTTCGCGTTCTCCTGCCGCTGGAGTCTGGGAACAATAACTCCTAAAGGGCCCCTTTTGCCTTCTCCTCCTCCCAGCTCCTGCGCTCTGATGCGGCGCCATTAAGCACAGAGTTGCTGAAGCTGTTGTTTCCAGAGTGCTTAGTGTTCAGCTGGCCTTCATATTCTGTTCTTGCAAAGTATTTCAGTGTAATTTTAAGCGTTGATAATTAGTAACAAGGCACAAAGTGCCCGGTGTGTTACCAGCTTAGCTCTCCGCTGAGCCTGTTCTCAACAGGCTGTTGTCGTCTGCGACTGCTCCTCCTTCCTCTCATCACTTTCGCTGGAAGTCCCAAGCTGAAAATTCTGCTAATATGACTGGGTCGAGCTATGGGAACTGTTTTGGGTCTGGTCCTGAGGGAGTTGCAGACTTCCTTCAGTAAAGATCTTTCAGCAAAAAGCGCAGGGAAGGTGAGAAATGGGTTACGCATTTCAAGTTTTCCGGAGATAATAAATGCAGAAAAAAATCTGAAAGAAAAGATCTGTGTGGCGTAAAGAACATGAACTGTCCTGCCACAAACAAAATGCTGTTTAGTTTTACTGATCCAGCCCTGTTACACTTAGGCTGTGCTTGTGTTTTCACACGTCCTTGAAGAGGGATTGTAGCCGCTTCTGAAGCGACTCAGCTGTACCAAGGTGCTTCTGTTGACCAGATTTTTCAGATAGGAAGCCTTGTTTTAGAAATGAAAACTGTGTTCTGGCATCTAAGAGAATTTTTCTGATAATATAGGTTTGAAAGTATCTTTTTACTAGACCAGCTAGTGCAGCTGAAGAAAAAATGGGTAAGATTTTGGACATATAAATTAGACTCATAGAATCACAGAACAGTTTTTCTTGGAAGAGACCTTCAGGATTGAGTCCAGCCTTTGTCCCAGCCCTGTGAACACCACTAACTCTGTCCCCCAGCACAACGCCCTCCCGTCTCTTAAACACCTTCAGTGATGGCGACTCAACCCCCTCTCAGTAAAGAAATTCTTCCTAATGTCCCACCTGAACCTTCCCTGGCGCAACTTCAGGCCATTTCCCCTCGTCCTGTCGCTCGCCACTGGGCAGTAACCCTCCTAAAATCAAGGCAACTCTCGCAGAGGTAGTTCAGGTCCTTGTCACCTCATTTCCCAAACGAGAAGTCCCTGGGAAGTGCCTGACCGGGTGTGTGAGCTCGGGTCCCTCGCTGAGCCCTCCTGCGGGCAGAGGTGGCATCCGGAGCCATCTGGGCACAGGTGCCGAGCTGAAACCTTGGTCTCGATGAATTTCAGGTTGTTTTTTTGGTGAGTCCAGTGTCTCAGCGTCACTGTCCTGCCCTGTTTCTGTTTTCCCTGTGACCTGGGGTAATCCAACACTCGCATTCCCCCCGAGAAGCTCGTGGCAGTAACCACTGGAGTTGGGCTCCTTTGGCACTGGCCAAAGTGAAGAATGTGGAGAGTTTAGATGAGTTTTAAAAACTCCACTTGAAAAACAGGTGTGAGAATTGACGAGAGCCACGTTTTGAACGGAGCCCAGACGCTTGAACCGCTGAGGTGGCCAATGTTTTGGAAGGGCTCTGGGGAGATTCCTTTCTGACGCTCCTGAGGCCAAAGTGACACTTGCTGCCTGCCTGAAGGGGCCCTTGCACAAGCGTTGGCACGTCCTCGGCAGGTACCGAGGTGAAGAGAAGTGCTTCCAACCTGTTTGGTGTCTCATCAGTTCAAGGCAGTGAGAAATCATTTCTTTATTGCCAACAAAAAGAGGGAACTATAATATTTACCCTGAGTTGCTCCTGGAGCAGGAGCCCTCACTCCCACAGCTTGGGGACCGCCCCACGGTGACCGTGCCCAGGTCGTCTCTGCTCCTCAGGCTTGGTCTCCTCTGCGCAGTGTCCCGCTGCGTGCGTTCGGATGGGTGCCTGATCTCTGTGGAAATGAGAATTCGCAGCTAAGAATTCTGACAGTCAGGTTGCTTTTGCCTATTTCCGGGTGTAGGATGAAGGATTTGAGTGTATTAGAAGAGTTTCCAGAAACACCACGTTGAAGCAGTTACGTATTGATTCTAGTGCTCTTAGCTGACACTTCACAACTCCGTGGTCAGTGACGGCGTGTTGTGTTTTGTTTTCTAGGTTTCCCAGACAATTGGTGCAATGTCATTCTCCATGCCTCACGACTGGGATAACAGAACCATCTATTTACATTCTCCATTTCCTGCAGGACAGCACTGCGTCCCACTTCATGGTTTGTAATCTTCGCTTGGATTTTTTACATTTTTCTTCTCCTCCCCCGTGTTTGGGAGAGAAGACGGGGTGTCCCGCTCAACAGGAGGGGGCTGAGGCAGGGAGGCACGTGGCTGCGCGGCGTGTCCCGTCGTTTCTCCACCCCCTTAGCAGCTTTGGGGCTCAACATCCAGCTTTGGCAGAGGGGTGATTTTTTCCCAGTTTGCCCTGTGTGATGAAAAGATGTTGTGCAGGAGGACAAGAGCTTTCAGTCGAGAGCTGGCCTGGCATGCGGCGGGCTGTGGCTGTGAGCAGCCGGACAGGGCAGCATTTCAGTTCTGTGCTGGCACCTTGTCTGGGGAAGCAGTTCCAGGACTTTCACACTCTGTTAGAATAGGGCTAGTGATTCCAAGGCAGAACGTAACTGCAAAGTAGCCGGAAGACGCTGAATAAAGCAGGTGACAGGGTGAGGTGCAGGGCAGTCCACATCTGGTCCTGCAGCTGCAAAAGCAGTATTGCAAAGAACAGGGTCAGCCACAGTTGCTCCCGACATCAAGCCTTGCCCAGGGCTCTGGAATGGAGGGCAGAGACCGTTGGGATCGTAGGAGGCGGGTGGGGACAAGGCGGGGAAGCAGCGCTGGGGACCACGGGCCCTTCACCCGTTAGGGCACGAGTCCCTGTACGTTTTGCTGCAGCACCACTCTCCCAGAGTCACAGAGACTTGGGTTTTCTGAGCTGCTGGGGCTGCCAGGGCACTCGGCGGGCGTTCCGCAGCCTTCCTGGCTCAGCCAGTTGATTCATACAGCTGGAGATCTAGTAAAGTCTTTCACAGTTTTTTTTTTAATATGCTACCAAAGAGGAATTTTCATTACCTGTGCAGTTCTCGTCAGTGCTGACACTGAAGAATTCCCTTTCTCCTCTCTCCCGTAACAGTCGTTAGCAGGGAGCTGGATGAGCTGATGATGGAAGCCCAGCTGCTACAGGTTTCTCTGCCTGAAATACAGGAGCTGTACCAGATCCTGTTCACAAAGCAAAGCCCGGCTGCGCAGGCGGAGCAGAGGTCGCCCGGCGGAGCAGCAGCTGAGAAGGTGAGTGTCAGAGCAGCCTGAGGAGCTGGGGCTCGCTGGGGAGCAGCGGCTCTGCCTGAACCCTTGAGCTCCCGTGAAAATACATCTTCGTGGTGCAGAATGAGCCAAGAAGTTCATAACTTCATTTGTTACAAACTGCTGAATATGATTTGTGGCCTAGTGCGTTTCGGGAATTTGACCGTGTTTTTATGGACGCTCTCTATTTTAAATACATCTCTCCTAACGTGACTCTCGTTCTGTGTTGAAGAGGTTTTCTGAGAGAGCTGCCTCTGAAGCAGCGGACTCAGGAAATGAGAATCTTTATTTTTATAAATTCTGCCACTGAGATGTGGCCCTGTCCTTTGCTCCTGTTGCTTCTCATCCTGCTTCTGCTGACAAGGCAGCACTTTACCCTACGCCTGCTCCTAAAAGCAAGGTGTGGAGTAACAGGATAATGAATGTTAGTTGCTTACTTTACAATTTTGCCAAAATATCTTTCTCATAGAACGACTGTTGCCGAGGAAAAAAGGATGGAATCAGTTACATGGAGAGAAAACTAAAACGTCGTTTCGAGAGAGAGAGCTTCTGTGATGAGAAGAGAGCAAGAGTAAAAAAAATGAGAACACCCAAAAAGAAGAAACTGAAACTGAGTCACTCAAAGGATCTCTGCACTCACAAACTGGAGAGGGAGCGGGAGCGTCTCTTTGAGATGCAGCGTTCCAGCGAAAGTCACTCGCTCCCCTCCGACCTGTCGTTCTCTGAGCAGGAGGACTCTGAGGATGAAGATGCCATCTGCCCCGCTGTGAACTGCCTCCAGCCCGAGGGAGATGAGGTCAGTAGGGGCAGCCCTGAGGGCTGAGGTCTGGGACGTTCAGCCCCCCTGAAACCCTCCAACTGCAGAAATGCCGCTTCACAAAGAGAACGTGAGGCTCCGGGGAACCCAGGGGCAGTGTCTGCTGCTGCTGGGACACGTTCTGTAACCACCCGTCCCACCTTCCCCAGGAGCAGCCCTGCAGCTGGGACCAGGGAGGGCGGGTGGATGTTGGGACGTCACCGTGGGAGGGTGGGCAGGCACCGCGTTCATCTCTGCTCTCGAAATACGGGGCTGGATGGGCTTGGTGGGCTGCAGCCTTTCCGTGGGTGGGCTGGTGCCTCGGAGCCCGGC